GTGGAAGTGATCATGTAGAAAAGTGATCGTGTAAAGAATAAGCATATAAGCATTATTATTAAATGAAAAAGTAATTTATCTTTAAAATATAGAGTTAAAAATGAATGAGAAAAAAGTGATGTTTAGATACTCACTTCCAAACTAGAACCAGGTACGCAATGAATAAAGAATTGGAATCCTATGTATGCAACCAAAAAATTATAGTAATCGAATATATTATATATACAAGTTCCTCTGAAATATAACTTGTTGGAAACCTAAATACACATAACAAGTGAATACGTTAAACATCTTGAAAACTAAGCTCGTTGTTTTTAAGGAAATAAACAATAAATAATCAATAATTAGTGGTAAAGCAGCATTGGGATGGGACATAACCGGTGAATCAGGTCACAGGTCACGTGTAGCTGTAAAATTCGAGAAATGATAAAAGGCTGTGATTTTCTTGTGTCAGAGAGATGAAGACAAAAACGATGTCGTAAAAGACGTTCAACTTTTGCTGCCAACTACTACACATACATTTCTCAAAAATGGACGGTAATTTAAAGTATTTCCAGCTTTTATAGTTCTTCTTAAAGAACGTGCTGGTATTATAATTATAAATACGCATAACAGAATAGAATTATTATAAGTTTTATGAAGAAAAGTCAAACATGCAGAGCCAACAAAGAAAAGTCACAAATATAAAAAAAACTTATACACGAAAAGCTGACAGTAATGATGCCGTTGAAAGCAAAATGTCAAATGCTACGTTGCGTTTTAGGGAACCCATGTCACCTACTACTGCTATTGCATTGCATGCCCCCTCGTGGCATGTTCCATTGGTTTGATTCGGATAAAAATTAATTTTTTAGTAAATTTTACTTAAATATGTAGTGAAAAAGCCGATAAAAATTATCAATTAATCAATTTGTACAATTATTTTGTACAACATTGTTCACAATGATGGGTGTGACAAAAAAATATTGATCGAAAAGATTTGTTATTTTTTAAACTGTCCAATGACAACATGCCATGTGGCATGTTGTCAACAATATTGTCGAATTCATTGTACATGAAGCATTGCTCAAAAATTATAAGTCCTATTAAAATATAGAGTTAAAAATGAGTTTTAAAAATACTAAATTTTAAAAATTGGACCAAACAGGGTTAAATACGATGTGTTGGATTAGATGTTAAGAATAATTCCTCTTTAACATGCTCAGAAACAGAATTGCAAGAAACATATTGATGTGTGAATTAATGATTGTTTTTTTTTTTTTTTTTTTTTTTTTCTTTCAAACTTTCCAATTCCAAGTCGACACGTGTCTCCCTTGATTTTGAATCTGTCTCCAACTTGTTTATATAGCATGTTTGAGATGTTAACGATAATGAGTGAAATCAAGTCAAAATTTTCCCATATTTTATTTTGCTAAAAGTTAATTAAAATTCAGATTATAGTTTAACATTTTAACCAATGGGATCCATAATTTTGAAATCACACATTTAAAAATCTGAATTTTATCAAAGAGATGCATAAATTGGTAAAAGGCAAAGAAATCAGCTGTGAAATAAGAAAACACTAAAGGGGTAACAATTTACAACCCTACCACACAAACAAGGGCCTGTGACAAGGCTGAGGCCTTGGACCTACAAATTCAAATTTTAGATTAGGCGTTGTCACAGGACCTGTCAAAGGTCCCTATTTGAGTAGCAAAATTCAACAATTTATATTACTCCTAACTGAATAAAAAATTATAAAAGTTGAACAAACGTTGACACGTCCTGTTTGAGTAGTGAAATTCAACAAATTATATTACTTCTAACTGAATAAAAAATTATAAAAGTTGAACAAACATTGACAGATCCCTGTTTGAGCAGTAAAATTCAACAATTTATATTACTTCTAACTGAATAAAAAATTATAAAATTGAACAAACATTCTTTTTGAGTGGTTAGGACCAGTTTTTTAAAAGGTTTATAAAGGAAGGTTACAAAAGTGAAGGCAAAGAGTATCATGAACATGTGACTTGTGAGGTGAAAATGAAAGTCATCTTGCATTTTTTTATTTGCTCGAACAGTCTGGTGCTACATAGGCATGTTTGGCTCAACCTATGAAACTGTAAGTTACTTTTGACTTTGGAGTACTTTTTTTTTTTTTATTCCCAATCATGTAAGGAATTTTTTATCTGTATTTGAAAATAAACTTGTCAAAATAAGTAATTTCTTCATTTAAAATTTCACTAATAAAGGAAGTTAATTATTTGTTCATATCCTTTTAAGCAAACTTATCAAGTTCAGACAAAGGTGTTGAATATTTGGCATTAAAAATGTCTATTCGTGTTTATATATTCTTTATTCATATATCTAAGTGCCTAATATATAATAAATAAATAGAATAAGCCATGGTTTGGTACAAATTAAAATTAAAATTTTAATATAAGTCAAAATTAATAATAAATTTTAATCACATATTTTATGAAATCTACAATTTTTTAATAATATATATTTGTATATATATATATATATATATATATATTTTTAATTATTTTTTTCAAATGATTATCAAATGAGTACTAAATGTAAATGCAAGACAAATGCCCCTTACGAAGTTTCAACACAGACACCATTCCCGTGACAAGTCTCTGAAGTGAGTCATTTTGTTTTCCAAATAACAAATTATATCCGCATCTTTGCCTTTTGCTGTTAAGCCCTCGTTTTTCTATCCTTATTCAATTAAAATGATTTTTGAAATAGTAAAGTTAAAAAAATATATAATTAAAAAGTAAGAAATATTTTAAATTTACATGTAAAATATTTTATTCTGCAAGCGTGTGATTTAAAACAAGTTTGAGAAAAAAAAGTTTTGAAATAATGGTATACAAATAGGGGCTAAATAAAATAAATTTTGCTTAAAATTACTTTACATTATCCATTTTTACTTTATTTCAAATTGACTTAAATTTCGTTCTCATGGATGTACACTTTGTAGTTAGCCTAAAGATAGAATAAAATAAGTTAATTAAATTAATTATGTAGATATATAGCAAACATTCAATGAGTTAGTACCTCCTCGTTTAGTCACTTAAATTATAGGGTTGTTTGGCACGACTTTTGATAAAAAAAATTCAGCTAATATTTATAAAAATTGATGAAATATATGACTGAATTGGAAATTGATAAAAGCTGTAGAGTTTATGAAATTTATGACTAAACCAGTTGAAAATTTAATATTCTATCAATTGTATAAAGATAAACTTGATTTCCTTTTTAATTTGTCCCGAATTATATGACACTTCCTTTGTTTAAACTTGAAAGTATAATTAAATTCTTAGTATTCTAGCAATATGCTCATCAGAACTGATCTTCGGTTCCCAACAGATAAGATAAAAATTTCTCACTGCTTTTATCCGTCCTCTAAGGACAGTGGATCAGGATTGATATGCTCATATTAATGTCCATGCTCTATTTGGGAATATTTTCATTAGTCAGGTAAATATAAAATATAATTATAATCGACACTTTGGGCAGCTTGCATGAAACCTATCGAAAAAATATTATTTTTGAAGTTAGACATTGCCTTGCATCTATGCATGCATGCATTTACCTAATTAATAAACGCGCAACTATTAAAAATAATACTAAATTAATTTCTTGTACCCTAACATTCGATTTGAATTACCATTTTATTTATGGACCCACGTGCTGTCCATTTGGCCAATAATACTAACAACAGTGTTCTTGGTTATTATCTACTACGATTAATAAAAAAATTATGTTCAAAGGTGATTTAAATTTGACAATATCAAAGAAACCTCGATAAAGAGGGTGTTTGAGACTCATTTTTATATAAAAATGTATTTTAGAATAGTAAAATGATGGTAAATGTATGGTTGAAAAATGAGAAATTTTTTTTGATTTACGTGTAATATTATTTTAATAAAGAATTTGTGGTTAAAAAGAAGAGAGAAAAATACATTTTGAAGAAAATGGGTATCAAACGGGGCCAAAATTTTGGTCATTTCATGTACTATTGAGTTTTAATTTTATTAGAAAGGAATTTTGGTTGAAGACAAACGTGATGGACAAGGATAATTTGGACTAATCTACAATACAACAAGCATTAGAATTTCATTGAGATCTATTATGTTTGTACTATGTTGCAAATTGGTATAATTTTCTTATATTTCTATTTGAGTGAGCTTATTTCTTTATTTCTTTCAAATAAACCCTTCATAAATAAATACGAGTATAAAATAACACATTTTAGGATCAACTAGCTTAGTCCACATTTCAATCCATACAAGGGCTTCTAAATATCATTATTAACTTAAGCTTAGGTAACTACTTCAACTCTAAAAGATGTTTCGATCAATTCCTATCCTGGAGAGCTACATCAAGCAACCAGGGAAAGCGCTTACTCGACAAGTAATTAGTTGAGGTGAAATATATGATTTGATGCTTGTTATGTTATGCAGCGAAGTATCACAAGACAAATTAGTGATTTTAAATACTTATAAGTTGCGGCAATGACAGAGGGAGGAGGTCAAGCGCATTTAGTTTTTTAGGTAAACAAAAAAATATTTTTATGGAATTTATTTTTTATATATCAATTAAGTATAAATTTTTTTTGACCACTTGGCTCCACCCTTGTGTTGTAGGTTCTGTGGGTAGTAAATTGTGGATACTAAGTGTGGATGAAAAATAAATTTGATCAACTTAAATTTTTTCAAGCACGTACTTAGTTGATGCGACGATCTCCACTCTAGCGTATATCAAACAGGACGTAGCCCCTGTTTGACCGCTATTGTTTTAGAATTGATTTTTTTTTAAACTCATTTTATATCATATATTTTACGAAATTCGTAACTTTTATCGATTTAATTCGATATTTCATGAACTTTTATCAAAATTTATTAAAATTATAATTTTAGTCTACATGATCCCAATCAATTATTAAGAGTTTGGGAAAAAGTTGTCTAGAGTCTTGTAAATGAAAAAGGGGGCTGGAAAATCGGCGAGCTCAATGTCGCTGGTGTTCGAGGTTTATCGTAAATGGTAAAGTTATTGGAAGCTTCCCAACACAAAGTCAAACGCTCAAAGACAGATATTAGAGACACACAGGGAACATATCATCAAACCCTCCGTCATTTCATCTACAGCTAGCTACCTCCCACCACCACAGTTAGGTTGCGCCACCACCCCATCAGTTTATAATCACATTTGCATGTTTGTAGCCATTTCCCTGGAACCATAACAGATAAATCCAAAAGGCAAGCAGTGTAGTATTTTAGAATAAAACTCCAGAAAAGAGAGAGAGAGATCACGGAATCCCAATACTCTTGTCCAAATCTTTGCACCCCTTATCTCCTTGGCCCCTCTAAGCTCGAAAAACAAACACTTCTCTCGCTGCATCAAATCAAATACAGTGCATATTAATCCCTTATTATTGATCCATTTCGATGAAGAAGAACCAGTTCCGAAAATTGAAATTTCGTCGGCTAGTGTTTGCATATGGCGACTGCTTTTACTTTGAAGGGAGATAATCATATAGCAAGTAATGTCAATGGCGACGGTGTTGAAAGTAGTATTGAGAGTCCAATGACTGCTGGCTCCTCTAACGCGCCGCCATTGCATTCTACTACTCTTCTGGATCGAGTTCCGGCGGAAAACGGCAAGTCGACGCTGAGAAAAAGGGCGGCGTCGGATATGGAACTTCAAGCAGGCAACGGCGGCGCTGACTACCATAATAGGTTTCTCCGCCGTACAGCAACAACGCCGCTGGGTGATTTTGGGGTCTGTTCTTTTATGAGTGGTGGTGATTTTAATAGTCCTAATCCACTATTACGTTCGACACACGTGGCCAACTACTCCACTACGATGACGATGTTACCATCTTCCACGAATTTGACGTCAGCCAAATCCGGATCTGGTTCCGAACCTGCCATTTCAACTCCAAACCTAAATTACCATCACCATCTGCAACAATCCCAAATTCAAGCCTCTACATCTACACCTTCTGTCTGCGTTTTCTCAGGCTTGCCTTTGTTCCCTCCTGATAAAACTCAGAACCCAAATTTGCTGCTTTCTCCATCACCCGTGCTATTACCGGTTAATTCTAATACATCAACTGGTGGAGGTGTAATTTCCATGGAGGAGGGTGCAGCAGCTACGGCATGGATCGACGGCATAATAAAAGATCTTATCCACAGCTCAAATAATGTCTCTATACCTCAACTGATCCTCAACGTAAGAGAGATTATACACCCTTGCAACCCTAATCTTGCAGCCCTTCTTGAATACAGGCTTCGTTCTCTTACTGGTACTGATTCTGTCACAAATTACCCCGAAAGGAGGAAGGAAGCTTTGCCGCCGGTGAGTTTACAAACACCGGACCAGCATGGGCAAGGGCAGGTACAGGTAGGCACTCCACGGCTCAGGCTGTATATGGACGACAATTTGTTCACTCATGGCCTTTCTGAATCCATGAATCAACACTTGAGTTGGCCGGGTGTCACACAACCGGCGACGGTGAATGCAGCCGGGAACAGCCAGTACCTCCGGAGCAATCCTAGTGCAGCAACCACAATCCCTACCAGTGTTTCTTTCACTGTGCCTGCAACTATGGTTACTGATTCGAATGATCAAGTGCGCCAGTCTCCTCAGCCCGAAACCCATCCCGAGCAGCCTATGGAGCAGCAACAGCATAGTCAGTCGGCTGCGGCGGCGGCAATGCCAGCAACGTTCCCTTCGACAACCGCAGTGGAAGCAATTAGAGAAAGGAAAGAAGAAATGAGACAAAAACAAAGAGACGAAGACGGCTTACACCTCTTGACCTTACTCCTCCAGTGCGCCGAGGCTGTATCTGCTGATAACATGGAGGAAGCAAATAGAATGCTGTTAGAAATATCTGAATTGGCAACACCATTTGGCACTTCAGCTCAGCGCGTCGCTGCATATTTCTCCGAGGCAATGTCGGCAAGGATAGTAAACTCGTGCTTGGGAATATATGCAGCGCTACCGATGGTACCACATAGCCAGAAAACGGCGTCGGCCTTCCAAGTGTTTAACGGGATCAGTCCTTTTGTGAAGTTTTCGCATTTCACTGCAAATCAGGCCATTCAAGAAGCATTTGAGAGGGAGGATAGAGTGCACATTATAGACCTTGACATAATGCAAGGCCTGCAATGGCCTGGACTCTTCCACATACTGGCGTCGCGGCCTGGTGGACCACCATTTGTTCGCCTTACCGGCCTTGGCACTTCCATGGAGGCACTAGAGGCCACTGGCAAACGGTTGTCTGATTTTGCAGAAAAATTGGGATTACCATTTGAGTTTTCACCCGTAGCTGATAAAATTGGGAATCTGAACCCGCAAAGGTTGAGTATAAGTGAGACGGAGGCTGTTGCTGTTCACTGGTTGCAGCATTCTCTCTACGATGTCACTGGTTCAGACACCAATGCCCTTTGGCTCTTGCAAAGGTGATAACAATAGCGTCTCTTTCTTGTTTTCTGCTTTCGTTTATAGTTATCTAGATTTCATAATGTTTTCTAAAATTCCAATGATCATCTGAAATTTTTTAACAGTTTAGAGCATCCCTATTTGTTTATAAAGCATGTTTTGCTAAGCTAAAAAAAAGTTTACTTATGATTAATTATTTTGAGGGAAAGAAAACGTTACTTTAAAAATAATCAATTTTCTTTGTTTGAAAACAAGAGAAAAGTAATTTATACATGCTTGAAGGAGTATTGTATCCCTGATTTGATTTACATATGTACAAGCCATCCATCCACAAAAAGGGAAATAAAATTGAATACAATTTTTTGCTCTAATAGCCACTAATTACTATATCTTACATATTTTTAGTAGACATAAAAGTGGATTCTTTTTTTTCTATAATTGCTATGCAGATTATGTCCAAAAGTAGTGACAGTTGTAGAGCAAGATTTGAGCCATGCTGGTTCGTTCTTGGGAAGATTTGTGGAGGCCATTCATTACTACTCGGCCTTGTTTGACTCATTGGGAGCTTGCTATGGAGAAGAGAGCGAGGAAAGACATATAGTGGAGCAGCAACTCTTATCAAGGGAGATAAGAAATGTGTTGGCTGTGGGTGGTCCTTCAAGAAGTGGGGAGGTGAAATTCAACAACTGGAGAGAAAAGCTTCAGCAATCGGGCTTCAAGGGCGTATCTTTGGGTGGCAATGCAGCGGCTCAGGCAACACTTCTGCTCGGAATGTTCCCGTCTGATGGTTATACCTTGGTGGAGGATAACGGTGCCCTGAAACTCGGTTGGAGAGATTTATGCCTGCTCACTGCCTCGGCATGGCGGCCCAGCACCAACCATTTTCCATCCTCCATCCAGTAGAATTGCCACTGGCACTGGCCTCATCTTTTTGATTACTTTGTCGTGATGTTTTTTTCAGAAAACTTTTTACTCTTCAATGATAGACATTAATGTTATACTTAGTTGGAATTTTGAAATTTACAAGTTGAATGAGATCATTGGTATGTAGCATGTTTGCCTGAGCTTAAACCAAATAGAAGTTACTTTTATCCTGTAGAGCTTAGATAAATTTGCGAAGAAGAAAATGAACGAGTTTTAGATGAGCTTGAAAACAACAAATCAAACGTCTGGTCACACTTTTCGGAAAAGTGGGCAGTCGATTCGTGAATTCTTTCCGAAGTTTTGTGCTTCATCGAGCTAATGTTATTACACATAACTAAATGACAGAGTACAAGGTATTCGATGTGCCGATCCTTAAATGACTACACCATGGAACAAATTGTTGAATTTCAGACAAATGTGTACCATTATTATTTTTTCTTTATTAATTCGGTAAACTGTTTGGATGGTTTCAAATTATTTTTAACAATTGAAACATAAATTAAGCCGAATCGAAATGGTTTGATTTGGTTCTAAACCAAATTGTTGATGTTTGCCTGAGCTTAAACCAAATAGAAGTTACTTTTATCCTGTAGAGCTTAGATAAATTTGCGAAGAAGAAAATGAACGAGTTTAAGATGTTTTATAAAAATGAAAACAGCTTGAAAACAACAAATCAAACGTCTGGTCACACTTTTCGGAAAAGTGGGCAGTCGATCCGTGAATTCTTTCCGAAGTTTTGTGCTTCATCGAGCTAATGTTATTACACATAACTAAATGACAGAGTACAAGGTATTCGATGTGCCGATCCTTAAATGACTACACCATGGAACAAATTGTTGAATTTCAGACAAATGTGTACCATTATTATTTTTTCTTTATTAATTCGGTAAACTGTTTGGATGGTTTCAAATTATTTTTAACAATTGAAACATAAATTAAGCCGTATTGAAATGGTTTGATTTGGTTCTAAACCAAATTGTTGATGCTTCAATTTTTTCTCCTGTAGATTAGACCATGTTAGAATTATTTCAAGGGTGTGATTTTATTCATACCACATTTTTTAGTAAATATAACATATTTTAATTATATTAAAGGTCTTTACTTTTTCATTTTTTCATTTATATTTTAACTTTCTTTAAATATTCTTATATTTAATTTTTCATTAATTAGCAAGTCTTGCCCTTAATGACAATTTTTATGCAATGTCACTATTAGCGTGCAATTCTATATATGGTTTTATTTAAAAATGCGAGAAAACAAATATTTCTTTTTCTCCATCCTAATAAAACTTTCAAACATAAGTCCTTGTTTGAGCCCCATTTTTACCTCATTAAAATGAAAAATATGACCGTTATCCATCACATCAAACTACCATTTTTGAATATCTATCTTAGGTGTGGGGCCCATAACGGCTCTATTTCTCATTCTCATTATAATGTGGTTCAAACGGGCTTTAAATCTTTTGAGAAGGGTAATTGGTACAAAACGTCCCTACCTTTCAAGATTATTGTGGAAAACGTCCCTACCTTTCATATTTTGGCATTTTTGCCCCAATTTCCACATTTCTTTGCGCTGAACGTCATTTTCACTGTTTTTTGACAAATTTACCCTCCATTCAAATCAAACAAAAAGAAAAGAAAGAAAAAAAAAATACAAAAAACTAATTGCACCACAGTTCCAAAATTTCAAAAAAATACAAATCAGTCACAAATATAAGAGGCCAAATACGAAGCCCCATTCCAACACCTTCCGACCACCAAAACCACCGGACCAATACACCACGTCGAAGTCCTCGTTGCCCTCTATACAGCCCATCCTAGAATCGTCCCTACCTCCATCGGATATGACCGAAATTTCGTCCCAAAACCAATCGCTCGCGTCATACAAAACTACCGAAAACTCCATCTTCGGCGACTCCCAGTCCAATCCCATCATACTGGTGGACTCCCCTCATCATGGCGCACCTAACCATGGTCACCAAACACCCATTGAACTACCCAATCATTAATTGCAGCCACTATTTTCGTACGCAGTCAACACCCAGACTTCAAAAGCTATTCCCGACGACGGTGGTCGATATCTTGATAGCGGACCAGCCCATCCAGATGACGAAGCTATTCCACCTATGGGTCTTTCACAATTTGGTACAAATCTTGCGATCCACTCCGGTATAGTTCATACGCAAGCGGGTTTAGATTTTCTTTCAATTGAGGCTTTGAAACTGCTTCAACCCTTGAATCAACTTGGGGAAATGATTACTCAGTGCCAAACGTCGATGGTTATATCGTCAATTCATCTAATTCATCATCCAAGCTCGAAAGCCTGTTTCGATCGTATACAAAAACACGACTCAATCAATTGAAGGGGCTGCAATGCCTAACTCCATCAATTCTTCCAGGGATATTGCAACTCAGGCATAAAAAACAGTGGATACATAATCAATTCCAGAAATTATAGCACCAATTGATCCAATTGTGCAGCCAAACGTCACCTTTGACTAACGAAAAATTGGATAGGGCTTCCCTTCTATATTTGTGACTGATTTGTAGTTTTTTGAAATTTTGGGACTGTAGTTGCAATTAGTTATTTATTTTTTTCTTTCTTTTCTTTTTGTTTGATTTGAATGGAGGGTAAAATCATCAAAAAATAGTGAAAAGGACGTTCAGCGCAAAGAAATGTGGAAATATGGGCAAAAATACCAAAAATGAAAGGTAGGGACGTTTTGCACAATAATCTTGCAAAGTAGGAATATTTTGCGTTAATTACCCCTTTTGAGAATAAGAATGATATACAGAAGTTGTGAATAAAGATATTGTAATAAATAACTATTATGAACCTTTCAACCAATTAAGATGTGATGCAGTTATTAAAAATCGGATGAGAATACATAGGGCCTGTTCGGTAGTAATTTTGAGAATTGATTTTTTGACCATTAGAAGAAAAGTGGGGGTCATCTGTGAGAGAAGAAGTCAAAAATTAAGACTAGAATAATGAAATAACGGTAAAAAATCAATTTTTTAGGCTAAAAATCACTCCCAAATAGGACCTTAGCCCTATTAGGCATAGATAAAAATTGATGAAGCGTATGATTGAAAAATTAGTAAAAATTATAAATTTTATTATATGTAATTAAAAATGAATTTGAAGAAATAAGTACGGAAAAATGGGCCAACATGGGCTTAGCTTTGTCAGAACATGTTCACAAAATACTGAAAGCAGCATATTTTCCAGAATTATCCCTCTATCCCTCTATGTCCTACGACAATTTTCTTCGGGAAGACGAACACATAAGAGGAATCTCTAAAGAGCGCACCGTTTATTGGCGNTATCCCTCTATGTCCTACGACAATTTTCTTCGGGAAGACGAACACATAAGAGGAATCTCTAAAGAGCGCACCGTTTATTGGCGAATTGATTCTCAGCCATAGGCATTGTTGACAGTACCAAAAGTATCACTCCTATTATGATCATTGATTAGCATTCGACGCAAGCTGGAAGAAAGGCGGAATGAGTTCGGAGACGGAAAATTCGGAACAAAGCTCACGAGTTCTGGCTAAATGGCTGATCGGAGGGTTAGTAATTGGGGCGTCGGTTATGGGTTTCCAGATTTTTCAGCAGAAAAAGAAGAAGAAGAGGCCCATAAGGGTTTACATGGATGGCTGCTTTGATATGATGCATTACGGCCACTGCAATGCCCTTCGCCAGGCGCGAGCTCTGGGCGACCAATTGGTGGTTGGAGTTGTCAGCGATGCGGAAATTATTGCAAACAAAGGCCCTCCGGTTACTCCTCTTAATGAGAGGTCTGATATCTCCCTCTTTTTCAGATTGTTCCCAATTCATTTGTCACTTAATTTACAATGTTCCATTATTGATATATTTATTTATGCTAGATGTATATGTGGCCTTACTTTTGTTTCCGATCCTAACATCTGTGAACAAATTTTCCGTCCTTTAGCTGTCTCGATTTAATGGTAATTATATACATATTATTTGGTGGATGAGTATCTTATTGCTCCTTGTTTACTTTGACTTGAACCCCTACATGAGAATGGAGACATAAAAAATTAATGTACAAGTGTATGGCCTGGATATAGGATTAGCACCGGCCAAATGAAGGCCTGAAACTGATGTAAATTTCTGAAGGTAAAATATCTTTGGAAGTTGAAACAGAGATAAGGCTGATTGAACTTTTCTTAATTATGTTTGGCGTAATGCAAAAGCTTGAAAAACACTGCTAATCAAGAGTACTTAGCGCAACGTATGTACACCTTGGTGGGCCAGCTGATTCATCTATGCAATTTTACTCGTTGATTGAGTTTCTTGGTCTGGTCTACTGATTAGCTTTTATTTATGTAGCATTAATGATGTCGCATCCTTATCAACGTGGCTTTCAACAAACTGAAGCATAGGAATACTAGGAATTCATTGTTATCTTATATGTGTATATGCCAAATGGATTTATTACTATTTTTTGTAATGTTCAGCGATAACCTCTATCAGATGTTATCTCTTACTTGCATTTATTTGCAAACTCATACATTTTGTTGGCTTGTATCTACTTGCGGAGCTAGAATATGGACCTGCAGTTGCCGGTGGGGTGGGTGGGGATGCAGTGTAGATATATTTGGAGTGCCACTGCAGTATTTGGTCAAAACATTTGCAAGAGACGGAGCAAACATAATATTTGTAATGGTTTACTCATAAATCTTTATTTTCGTAAGTGGAAAGTTGTAATATCCAAATCTTGTGGGTTTAGCCTTAAGAATCAGGTCCCTGTCAAAGATATTTTCTTTTACTTGAATGAAGCCTACAAGGTATCTTATGTGACCTTTCAACAACTAACTCGTTCATTTTGGTGCTGTCTCTTTATAGGATGATTATGGTTAGTGCAGTGAAATGGGTGGATGAAGTTATTTCTGATGCTCCTTATGCTATTACTGAGAATTTCATGAGAAAACTATTTGATGAGTACAACATTGATTATATTATCCATGGCGACGACCCATGCATTCTTCCCGATGGCTCTGATGCTTATGCCCTTGCTAAGAAGGTTGGCCGCTATAAACAGATTAAGCGCACTGAAGGGGTGTCAAGCACTGACATTGTTGGTACATTCATTGCCCTTCTTATTCTTTTAAATGCATGTATGAAGGGAAATTTCTTGATTCACCTCATAAACCATTGCTTTTGTGCCTGTATTATTAGTAAATGATTTTCCTAATATATTGTCTCATCATCAATCATCAGATTCTTGTTAGACTTTCATTTTAAAAATTTATGGATCAATGTTTATAAAATGCAACGAGCAATGACTTATTCCTGATCAACAGGATTTGGCTCCTACTTGAATTTTTCATGGTCGCTTCGTCTAACTTAAAGGTCCAATATTATTGAATCTTTTATAAAACACCGAGCCATGTTAATTTGATCTACTTCTTCCTATTCTAACTCTTTCTATTGGGATAACTTTATCTCTTGTAAATGAATTTTATTTTAAATGTTTACATGATATGCTCCAACCACATAAATCGGACATTTTATCTTCAATTGGTACCGTCTGTGTGCCGATTATTTTTAATTCATCCATTCCAGCATGGCTACACATCAATCTTAAAACCCTCATTTTGTTTAGTTAATGAACTTTTTGTCCTTTTAGCTTGTCTAGTAACTATTTTCAATAAAACTATACATATTTTCAAATACATAGAATCTGTCCTTTTAATCCCCAGTCAAATCCTATGCACGAAATACCTACAAGAATAATATTTAGTATGATTACCATTCCTACTATGAGTAAACATGACAGTCAACATATTCCGTCTTGGTTCTACTTCACCCAATACATTTTGATTTCACAGTGCTCCCCTGAAGATCCAACTTATTATTTATCTTGCTCCCTTCTATTTTATTATCTAAAACTATCTTATGAGCGAATAACATATGCTAAAGGTCTTAGTCATGGATTTGTCTTACGAGCTCGTCCATAACTTAAAGTAAAAGGATAGGGACTCATGCAATCTTCATGCAAGTCTATAGTAATATAAGTTTTTTTTACTACCCATTATAGATTAACTCTTGACTGCTCCATCTTACTCATCTTTAATAATAGTGATATAGACAACAAAATTTTCTTCTTCACTTGTACCATGCCATTTCCATGGATGAATTTATCATATGGGTTTTCAAATTTAACAATAATCATACAAAAACCTTATACATACATACATACATACATACATACATACATACATACATACATACATACATACATGTATATATATAGTCAGCGAACCTTTGAATTATAGCTGTGGTCAATCACCTTTTCTAATAATTTCCCAGTATCACCTATGAATTTATTACCTATATAGTTCGTACAACCTTGAATATCTCATTATTCTTATAAATTAACACAATAGCGCTCTACCGCAAATCACGAGGCTTATTTTTTCGCTTTGAAATCTCTATTTCGTCAATCATAAACTACCCAATTTGCCTGTAAGCTTCCACACATCAATGCAGGTTCCATCCGAATCTTCATTCTCTCACTTATGAGACATAGGTTCTTTTAATATAGTTAAAATTTGAGATTGCCAATATCCATACTCTGCTTTCATTCAAATAATTTGTCAGAACAATTCACCATTTTCTGTGATGAAAACACTTCAAAAGAAAGGTCTCTGATTTTTATCCTTATAACACTTGATTTAATTTAGATTTGTACTTCCGTTTTCCTTGAGTTGAGCTATCTTGTCAAATATTTTTTTCCTTCATCCTTATTTCTGGATAAGTACACAACTTTTCCAATGTCTCTGCTTGAAGCATTTTAACGTAAAAGTTAGGCCATTTTTATCATGAAGAATCTGCCACTGAAATGTCAGAACCTGCCATTGCTGCTTATTGTCTGTGGGGAACTAAGAAATGTTCGTAGATGTTGAAAAATAGGTCGTATGCTTCTGTGTGTGAGGGAGAGGTCAACTGGTGACAGCCACAATCACTCATCCTTGCAACGACAATTCAGCCATGGTCACAGCCCGAAATCTGAAGCTGGTGGCTCTGGAAGTGAAACACGCATATCTCATTTTTTACCTACCTCCCGTAGAATTGTTCAATTCTCCAATGGCAAGGTACATACATATATTGCACTTAACCTATGCCCAACTTATATATCTAAAATTCCACACAACAGAACACAGTACTATTATTTCATTATTTTCATATGGTGTCCGGCTATGTGAAGTTTCTTATCATTAAGTTCTGATTGCATGTAGAGTACAAACAGAGTTGTGTTTTCTTCCTCAATCGAATCGTTTAATGAAAATTTTATTGTCGAATAAAAAATATTTGAAATGAGAATATGGATTGATGTTCGTCTGTTACAACATGTGTTGCACAGGCACTTCAACTTGGGGTGCGTACATGTTTGACACGTGCTGGGCATGTTAGATACTGACAGTCACTGGATACTCTATTGTATCATGATTAATTTTCTTTCTTTATCTGAAATGTTATATATTTTTAATTCTAGGTTTTATTAAGTAATAAATAAGTACTCTTACTTAAAAGATTGCAACTAAATAATTTATAACAAGTATAAAACTAAATTTATATAACTTTCTTTCTTTATCGGAAATATTATATATTTTTAACTTTAAGTTATTATTAAATAACAAATTGGTACTCTTATTTAATAGATTTGAACATGAAAAATTAATAACAAGAATAAACCTAAATTTATACTATATAAATGAAGAATTTTGAAGAATTTAATCAACGTGTCGATGATGTGTAGTGTCAGTATTTTATTCAAAAAATTGCGTGTTGGTGCATAATATACTACAACTGCTGGCATCATGTGCACTTTTCTGCCAGGAAACATAGTGATAAGTATTCAATTGAGCACGAACAAGCACTGCTTGGATGATTCGTTACTCTTTGGTAATGAATGACTAATTGATGCTACTCTACCATACTCAATCAGGTTAAAAGGTTAAAATTGTCATCGATAAAGAATATATTGAAAAATTTTGTTTTGTCAAGTATTTCTACTAAAATAGACTCATGAGAATGTTTATTTAAGCTTATAAGTCAGCCAACCTTGTAAAATTTCAAGCGCCAAACATGAGCATTCTTTTTTTAATTACTTAAAAGTATAAGTTGTTACTTATTTTATGGAGGAGTTAATGTCAAAATTAGGAATAAACTTATTTTCTTCTGGCCACTAGAACGAATTGTATACATCCCATATTGTAATAGAGTCAGCTAGAATATAATTACTTAATGATTATTATACAATTCATCTATATAATTTGAATGTCCTTTTTGGCCATTTGATGTTTAAGTCTACTTCTCGTATCTTTTTGCTAAGGGTTAAATACACTGCGGGTCACCTAACTTTGAGAGAAATAGCATTTGGGTTACTCATCTTCAATATGGTGCAATCTAATTACCCAACTTCAATTTGCTTACAACTCTGGTCACTTTGTTTGCTGCCGTCAGTTTAACCAACATAATTTGCTGAACTTAAAAACTAATGGATAGCTGAAATGTAAAAACATGTGTTTATTTCACGCATTTTCTTTTTAAAGATGGGTGATGTGTATTGGTTCTGAAGTGGACAAACATGCGAGTTATCCGTTAGTTTTAATCTCCGGGTCTGTATATTACATTATTTGAATTAACGGGATAATGGACAATGACCAGATTTACAACTAAATCGAAATTGGGTGACTTGAATTGCACTAAATTGACTACAAGTGATGTGGTTGCTACTCCGCTTAAAGTTGGGTGACCCACAATGCATTTAATCCATTTGCTAGACATAAAACAACTATTAGTGCAATTTAATTTATCAAACCATGCATCCTTAAAGGTAAATACACTTTTTTCTTCGGTGAAGTCCATTCAGGATAAATTAATGGCAATAGAATGGGGTTTGGCATTGGCCAATGAACTTTACATCCAACTTTAAGTAAGCGACCCTGTAACACTTAATTATTTTACTTAGATGCGAGTTCTTGAATTTAAAGCCACGCATGCTCAAAATATTTTTCCATATTCTTATCTGATTAATTTGGAGGCCAAGTTTTTTCAAAAGCCTCAGAGCATGGTTGCAAGTTTTTGACTTTCTTTCTGCAGTTTGGAGTTTTGACTTCAAAAAATACCTGCAAGAGAAAAAGAACCAAAGGCTTGATATTAGATAGGCTGCGAGAGTCGAGACAACGTTATGCACTTTATTGTAGGTGTTTAGGATTATTTAGTATATTTGATCTTGTTAGGCTAAGAAATGAAATAATAAAATAAATAATTGGGCCAAAAATTAAAAAATTAGAAATGAAACAAATTATTGGGCAAAAAATTTGGATTTAGAAATCATTAATTTTTTAATTTGTTTAGAAAAAATTAAAATTAAAATAATTTGATTTAATCAACATAAAAAAAAAGAAAGATTCGGTTCTTATTCGGTTTTTCGGTTCTTGGTCTAGAACCGAGAACCGAACCGTACCCGTCGGTTCTCAATTCAGATACCCGTTCGGGTATTTAATTTGACAAGAACCGTCGGGTTCGGATCGGTTCGGTTCGGGTTCGGTTCGGTCGGTTCGGTTCGGGAGATTTGCCCAGCCCTAATTAGTGCAATTTAATTTATCAAACCATGCATCCTTAAAGGTAAATACACTTTTTTCTTCTGTGAAGTCCATTCAAGATAAATTAATGGCAATAGAATGGGGTTTGGCATTGGCCAATGAACTTTACATCCAACTTTAAGTAAGCGACCCTGTAACACTTAATTATTTTACTTAGATGCGAGTTCTTGAATTTAAAGCCACGCATGCTCAAAATATTTTTCCATATTCTTATCTGATTAATTTGGAGGCCAAGTTTTTTCAAAAGCCTCAGAGCATGGTTGCAAGTTTTTGACTTTCTTTCTGCAGTTTGGAGTTTTGACTTCAAAAAATACCTGCAAGAGAAAAAGAACCAAAGGCTTGATAACTAAGCATATGGTAGTAGAGAGAGAGAGGAATCACTTGCAGAACTCTCACAAACAAGATATATGAGATAGCTTCATGTGCTGCTGTTGATTTCAAATCCAATTTGCTTCTGGCTTATGATTTATTCAGTTGTCCGTTAAATATTTTCACTCTTAGACTGGTGGAATTGATCTTCTACACAATCATTTTTTATCCAGATCATTTTACTATCATCAATTTTTATTAAGATATTACAATTGCTGACTTTTGATCTTTCATGATATATTTTTGCACCTTGTAGGGACCTGGTCCAGATGCTCGGGTAGTTTATATGGATGGTGCATTTGATCTTTTCCATGCTGGACATGTGGAGGTATGTGATAATTTATCCCATTCCATATACTTAACATAGATGCTAAGGAAGTCCTTTATGGTATACTGGAGAATTTTCTTTATGCGTATGACTGCTAGCTGGTTTCTTGATAACATATCTATGTACTAATATAAATTATCATTATAATTTTGTGAGTTGGATGGATTGCGTGCTTATGGTTCTAGTCCATGTCAGATCCACGTTCCTCTTTCTAAATTTGTGGTGGTCAATTTGTTTAACTCTCACCCTCTTATGTTGGACCACGTCCCAAATTGAAGTATCGTTTTGGTCCAGCCCTTCGCAGTCTGCTTTCTTGTCATCTGGCCGCAATCTTGTTTTAGATTCTGATAGAAGAATCCTTGGCTTTTATTCATTTCTTTTGGCTTTCTTCTCATTATGTGTAGAAGTTTTTATTTGTTTGGTGAATTACAGATACTGAGGCTTGCTCGAGGACTTGGAGACTTTCTACTTGTTGGTATTCATACCGATCAAACTGTCAGGTAGAAATACTTTACTGATTCTCTCTATTTTCAACTTCTCTCTAAATGATTGTTCTTATTAAGTATTGATGGTAAACCTAAAGGAAGAGATGCACTTGAATTATATGGAATTAGGCAATTAAAAGAGCCTTGTAGTTTTAAAATCGGGTATTATAGTGAAAAATATAGACGGAGTATCTACGTTGCCCACTCCAGATAATTGTGGATAAACCTTCATTATGTTTAGTTGAGCATGCTTAAGATTGAGTGTGGTGCAATGATGCACTTTTGAAAGGGGGAAAAAAAAAAAACTTGTATCTTGTACTTCTGTTATAAATGCTTCCAGTTTTACAGATTGTGTTACGTTTACTATTTTGGAAGATTCTACATCTTTGTTGTATGATGCCTTGCAGTTCAAAAAGGGGAGCTCACCGTCCAATTATGAATCTCCATGAAAGAAGCTTAAGTGTTTTGGCTTGCCGATATGTGGATGAGGTAATTATTGGTGCTCCACTGGGGGTTTCAAAAGATACGGTAAGTTTGCAGTATACATGATTTTAATACCTTTTATTTTTACACAAAACTTGTGCTCTCTCATCTCCGCTGTTAATTTAAGAATAAGTTAAATAATAATTGAGACACTTGTTGTTTTATGTAGACATCCAATAAGAAATCACATGACATGTCCAAAATGTATATTTTGCTTTTCGATATTTGTATAATGAACTGATGGGCAGCTGTGTAAAAATCTGTTTCCAAATGTATAACAACCCTTGAGGTTGATCTTTGAACCTGTTGATTGTACTGTTAATTGGTTACTATGATAAAGCTATAAAGTATATTCCTTGAATTTGGTATGTTATTCTAATTAGTTATTTTGAACTGACCCAAATTTAGAGATTTCTTAAGGTTACTATAAATAAGCGAATGAGACCAAATAAGTTTTAAACCTAAACAAATGCTCAAGTTTTTAGCCCAATATCAAAGAAATATGTAGAATCAACTGATTTTTGAGGTTATATTTCATCAAACAAAAAAGCTTCCTGTTTTTAACAGGGCCTGTGGATTTTTCATGTTTGGAATTTGAGTGATATTCTAAACTAATACTTCATCTAAACTCAATATGGATTGGTTTTTTATACGATGACTCCAAAACTTACCTCCTTTGAGAACCTATAATAGTTATTAAGACAAAGAACTAATTTGAGAAGTTGAATTTTTCACTCTACTTTTAGTCATAGTAATCAGGCCCATATTGGTCGCTGACCCAGAGTAAATACAAATTATGATGGGGTATTGGCCGTGTGTCACTGTTTCAACCAATAGGTCATTGACTGCAAATTTAAATGGAATGTATTTTTCAATAAAAATGATCAATTTATTTATTTATTTATTATTATTATTTTTTGGCAAATATATATATATTATGATTTCCTTTCTATGCTTATGTTTTAAATATTTTATAGCTGTAACACTATAATTGCTCAAATTTTAGTTTCTATATATTTTAGATTTAACTGTAAGAGATGGATCAATACTTTATTTATTGTGGGAAAAGACAACTCTTTGATGCAGATTGTTCTTAATTCTCATAATTTATTTCATGGTATTTAATTCCTTTCTGTTGTCGGGATATTATTTATAAAATCAGTTTACCAACGGAATTTGTACGACTCATTTCCTTTTTCCATGTACGCTATCTATAAAAATTGATTGCTTCTAATAGTTTCAAGTCAGCAGTTCTCCGCTAGAGGTTTCGATGATCAAGTTTCTTGCTCCTCTTGGGGTTCATTGCAACAAACTTGACCTTTCCGTGAACACATGCACTTTATTGTTTCCCATTTTTCTTTAATTCTGGAGGTTCTTGTTACTGCAGATAACGACTTTCAATATCTCTTTGGTCGTGCATGGAACTGTCGCTGAGGATAATGATTTTCAGAAGGTATGTTACTAGATATTTTAATATTCATACTGCATATCCACGCCTAGTGATTGCTTGTTTTTGATGATCTTGCAGGAGAGGGACAATCCTTATGCTGTTCCTATCAGTATGGGTATTTTTGAGCTGTTGGAAAGTCCTTTGGATATTACAACTAGCACAATAATCAGGAGGATAGTATCAAATCATGAAGCATTCCAGGTTTATTTACGTCCGATTTTCATTGTCTGAAAGTGTTTAAAGGACTTCAGGAACTGTCGTTCTTTTCAGTGCTACTTGATTAATTCAGAATTTATTTGATCACAAGTACTCACTTTGCTTTCATATGCACAGAAACGAAATGAGAAAAAGGGTGAAAGTGAAAGAAGATATTATGAAGATAAAGCTTTCGTATCGGGTGATTAATTGACTTCAGGAGATTTGAGGTAATTGTACAACTCCTTTTAGATGTAGACCATCTTGATTATCTTTAACTGTGGTGATTGTTGTACTTCTACTATTATCAGATTTCAGATGATTTGGTGACTCATACTTTTGGTGCTGCGAAGTATTCTGAAAATAACCTGTAGATGGAGATATCATCTCAGCAAAACAAATTTCTCTATCTGTATTTCTCTGGGTTACTTTTTAGAGGTTGTAGAACACTAAGAAGTTATAATCATTGACATGATTGTTGACAATAGCAGATGAGTTGGGAAATCACCTCTTTATATATGTTTTTGAAGGCGTGCTTTGATGTCCTACACTGCATGTTTAGTAGTACATTTATCCTATTCAATTTATAATAATGTTGTAGAAAACAGAGAGGAATAGAATGACTATCCAAAATTTCTCTCAGTGCCACCTGTTTCTGTGCCTGTTTTGGTCTACCGTTCTACGTTTTTCCTCTTTTCCTTTTTCTCATTCTTTTGGTTAAAGCTGAGGAACATTGCATAGAGTAGAATCTTTGAACATTTTGGGCAGAAATGTGCATTTTCTTATAGCCCTGCCCCAGTCCCACATGGATTCTATTATCATCAGGCATTCCTAAATCCTAATGCACTGGTTTGCTAGGTGTTTTGTGTACTGTTTTGTATATTCTCTGTTGGTATAATGTTCATGTTAATATTTTCTCCATTTATTGGGTTTCTGGGTATTCATTGAGTCCCTGTTTGATGGCCATTATTCAGAAAAAATAATGTTTTGAATAGTTATTTTTCAGAGAATGTGAAGTTAAAAAGTAGCGAAGAATTTTGGGTTTACTTGCAAAATATTTTATTGTGAATGTGTAGTTTAAATGAGTGTGAGAATTAAAGAGTTTTGTTTTGAATGGAGACAAATAGGTGATTAGTTTCTGCGGTTAATTGGGCATTTATAGAGGTGAATGGTCTAGTTGGAAACTCGTGAGGAGTCTTGTTTGGAGGTTATGGTTTGGTGTTCCTCACCCAAAGGGCTCCCTGGCAGTAGAATGAATATAATTCTTGCTGGTTTTTCTGGGAGATGATAAAATGCATCGAATTGTATAAGTTCTTTGATCCCCATTATTTCGAAAATATATTTTTCTCTTTTCTTTTTCACAACAATATTATTTAATAAAATAATATTACACAAACTCAACTTTATCTTGATTTTTAACCATATTCAAAATACATTTTTAGCCAAAAAGGGGCTCAAACAAGTGCATCGTGTGCGCTAAGAGCTGAGGTGTCAGTCCCTCAGCCATTGATCTGAATTCAGATCGGATCAGTCCCTCAGCCCCAGTCATAGGTGCCTATCAATGGCCTTGTTTGAGCAGAATAATTCGACGAAAGAACCTAAAGTTAAGTTGAAATGGCGATTCTGGATAGTCCAGACATGGAAATGAACAAATACTCTCCTATAAAATGGTGAAATTTCTCATCCCCAAAAAGGGCCTCCACGCATAATCCTTCATGGTCGATCGGTCGAGATGAAAAATCAACACTATAAATTAGACACGATATGGTCCAATAAAAAGGCAGGAACAAGAACGTAATACACCATGTAACGTTGCAGGTACACTCCCATTACTGTAATGATCATACAATAGAAGCTGTTCATCTTTGGAGAAATGGTCAGCCCTCAGTGCAGGCAGATTTTCGTGCCTCAAATTTTCGATAACCCCCATTTGTTCGTACTTTTTTTTCTGAAACGTTCACTAGTTTCTGTCTCTTCACCACAATTTTCATTCCATTTTCCCTTACTGCAATATATGCAGCATTTCCAAATGTTCCTTTCCCCAGCAACTCATCTGAAGATTTCAACATATTCTCAAGCTCAAAAAATGATTAAAACCCCCGGAATCCAATTTCGTAACAGATTCCTCCATATTCTGGGATTTTTCAGCTGCCGGTATCATGTTTTGGAGAACTCAAAATGAAATCCGATGGCGGTATAGAGCTGGTGCTTGGGCTCCATGATTGGTCATGAAAGATTTGGCAAAGTTGTTCTCTCTGTAGCACAGCTTCTACAAGTCATTCCCAGTTGTCATAGATCACGGACATTTCTCTTCTAAATTCAGCTCTAAAAATCTTGGACAATATCGGTGTTCTTGAAGATGATCAAAGACTAATTTGAATGATCGATACTTGCATTTTCTTCAAAATTCTTGGTCCCATGATCCCAACTTTTGAGCGTGTTTGGCTAAGAATTAAAAAGATTCTTTATTTCTGTAACATTATTTCCGAGTGACAGTGTTAGCTTTCACCTAAGAATTGCAATATTCCTCTTGATTTTAGTAGGGTCATCATCTATTTACAAAAATTGTGTACCCATTACTGTTTTGGTGGAACGTAAAGAGACAAGTTGATACGAACAATTTAAACTTTTAGACAAAGTCATTCTAAATAAAAATGGCTTCCATTTGTTGACATGCAAGAAAGGGGCATTTTAGTTGTGGGCAAAAAGAATCCAATTCCCTTCGAGTCTTTTCCAGTCAATGACAGAGTCCGAAATTAAATTCAGTAGGGACCTAATTTTACTATCAAAATTTTTGAAACACAAAATAATATTGTTAAAAATAATTAGTAAAATAATATGAAAGCCATATAGAAATATATATTCTCAATTTTTGGTGGGGGCCACAAACCCACTAGATTTATTGTGTGTAGTCACAAAGCAAAAACCATAATTGTAATTACTGAATTAATTTGGGCACAATATATAAAATATAGAACCTGTTTGGGTTTCATTTTAATTTTAATTCATTTTTCTTTTTCTTCTTTCCAAACTCATACTTTTTAGTAAAATAATATTACACATATATTTACAAAAAATTTCTTCTTTTTAAATCACATTCTTCAAAAAAATTAGTATTTCAAAATCTCATTAAAATAGGGCCCAAGCAGGGCATAATTTGAATGAGGAAAAATTTCATGAACATGAGTATTTATTGTCTATACAGAAAGAGACACGTCTCATCACATGTACCACACGTGTGGCCTATGCCAACTTAGTGTGTGTCATCGCGTGGCACACGCTCTTGCCATGTGTTCGGTACACGAGGTAGAAAGATCGGCATATTCAGTCCAAATCAATTTAATCATTCACACTCCAATCCTTAAGGGTTATTCTACCTGTACAGCAATAGTTCAATACAACACGTTGATTGTGGGATCCCCTCATGTAGGGGGGGGGCTGTCATGCTTGACGTACACAAGCAAGCATGACTCAATCCTCAAAAAGTTATTTAATCAATCCCAATTCTTATTTTGAAGCACCGAATGGATTTGATTGAATCAAATTGAGTTTCAATAAATTAATTTTAATCCAATCAACTTTTGATCAATTAATATAATTTATTTATTTACTTTTATTCCACTAAACGAACGAGACTGCATCCATAATCTAATTAAAATCATTAAAATTGTACAATCAATAATTATATCATCTAATTTATTGTTATGATGTATTATGTCGCGAGTCATTTCAAATATTCACAACAAGGTAAGATAACTAAAATGCCATTTTTCAAATATACATATGTTGCGAGTCATTTCAAATATTCACAACAAGGTAAGATAACCAAAATGCCATTTTTCAAATATACATAGATCCTCAAGTCTCATTTTACATTCAACAATTCCATGTGATTACATGACAATATTAATTCAACAATCACTGTCAAATTATCGAGCTCCAATTCAATTGTCCACTAGAAAATTATTTGAAGTCATGATAGTGCTTGATGGGTTCTATATTGAGAATATAGGTACTCACTTTGGATTAAGATCTTATATACGACATTGAATTTAAATTAAATGTGTGGTTAACGTCAAAATAAATTTCACGTGGTCTAGTTCAATTCATTTGAAATGCAAACTCAATCATATTACAAAGTCAAAGATGAACTTCAATAAAATTGATATGATTTTATCAGACCCGGTCCTGTGCAGAGGCCAATGCCTCAGGCCCAAAGCTGAAGGGGCCTCATTTGGCCCAATTTGTGTTTGTGTGTGTGTGAAATGATGTAAAAGGAATTTTTTTTTTTTTTTTTTTTTGGGCCTTTTCTCTTCTCCCTTCTCTTTCGTGCCCATCTTCTCCTCTTTGTTATTCGCCACAATCCGCAAGTAGTGGCTAACAAGATCAGATTTTTTTTGGGGAGGCCTAATTTAGGAACTTCACCTCGGACCCTGACAATCACAAGACCGACACTGAATTTTATCAAAATAAAGTATCAATCTTTATTTATCGATTGTGGACTATAAATTTGAGATCGTATATAAAATCCAATCTTTCCATACTTAACAACACTTAAAGTGTTCGATTTATAATATCAAAACAATCAAACTCAATCTATAACAATTAAATTATAAAAAAAAAATAAAAAATTAATATTTCTTTTCATACATCGCAGATACACGGACAAATACAATCTCCAATACAGGGCACATTCCATCTTCTTTCTTCCTTAGTGTGTCTATTAAATAAAACCGGGATGAATGCAACAGAAACGAGAACTTGAATGTTCAATGATAGTAGAATGAATAAAATATACAAAGATATATCTTAATATCTTTTCTAAGAATGTCCATTCTCCCCTTGACCAGCTAGATGCATCCAGCAGAAATTGCAGCCTTGACAAGCAAGCCAAAGAGTGTAAATGGCGCAGAGAAAAATGGGCTGTGATCACTTTCCAAAACATAAACATCTGTTGGTGGCCATTTCTTGATCATTGCATGTTGTTGTTGAGGTTTTATTACATGATCATGGGTTGTTTTAATGTATATACGAGGAACTCCATCTGCATCCTCTCCCTCTTCAAAGTAAGCAGATTTTAGTGCTTGGATTGGTCCTGGTCTCAAAAGCATGGCTGCTAGCGTGGAATCCTGAATTACATTTAAGGTCTTAGCCATGTACGGGTTTGATATCGGTATAATTGGAAGCAAAGAATTAGTATATGAATCATGCTTGGTGTACATTCTATTTGAGAGAATATTATTGGACAGTTCCCAAAAAAAAAAAAAATAAAAAAAAAAAAAAAAAAAAAAAAAAAAAAAAAGGGCTGTCTTTTCATCCAATAATTTGTTGCCAACACATTTTTTTGTCAACAAGGTGGTAAAAGGTAATGTACAAGTTGTAAAATCCTTAGCATACTTATCTCAATCACAATGAGAAAAGATAAGTCTATGATTACAAGTTTATTTCATGGATTCATTCAAGCATGTCTAAATATATGTACTAGAAAAGAACAGCCCTAATTCCTATCCATGACAAGAATAATAAAATAAAAAACCTAGCAAGCGTATTTCTTCAATAGAACTTAACACAAAATTCTGACAAGTGCTAGTGCGGAAAACTGAATCATGTGGCTTCTTGTGAACATGGCTGCATAAGCTGCTCTTGTATGCACTTTCTATTTGGTGTCAAAAAACAATATTTCTTACAGATTTTTTGCGAAGCTGTACTTTTATAGGAATTCTATGATTTTATTTTGAATAAACGATTAAAAAAATTAGCTCTCAATAATGTGCTTAAATGATATTTGAAAGAGGTTTAAATGCAATTCCTGTGGATAATTGTGATTCTATTATTATTCAATTTAGATATATAACTCATGTTTTGATGTTTGAATAACATATAATAATACTACCATGTAGTATGATCAATTTGATTTAAATTTCAAAAGCTTTAAATCTTAATAATTAGAATAATTAATTTGGCATTTAATTATTTTAAATTTTATATGAGCCCTCATTATTTTAAGTTATTAAAGTGAATGCGGGTGAACCATGAATTTGAGCTATATTCTATATTTGCTAGAATTTCACGTGATTGTTTTTAATCGAAACAATATTTTTTTGCAGAATATTTGATGTACTATATTTGAACATAAGTTTATGGTCTAATTAAATTTAGACACCGTGTTCAGCTAATTTGGAGTACAAAATTGTAAATATTTTGTATCTAAGATTTATTTTATTACTATGAAAGCATGTTTACTTAGATCAATATTGTTAAACTATATTTGATACTTTATGGTTATGTTAATTCTTATTATTTAATGTTTTGTGAACATGAGCATCATTGTGTTCGGTCATATTATCCAAGTTAGAGAATTAATGGTATATATTTGTATTTGGACTAATCACTAAGCTCATAAAGTCTTGTCAAATAGATTAAGTAATAATTCATTTAATTAAATTATATTGATTATGTGGGACATTAATTTTGATCAATAATCATATAAATTGAATTTTCATATCATGTAATAGATGCTGTCCTTTCCTACTCTATAGTAAGTGACATCCTACCTATAAATATGAGGAATGCAAGGGAAAAAAAAGCGATTTTGGAATGTGGTAAAAAAGTTCCACAAGTTGAATACCTTTGGAATGTGGGGGTGTTCAAAATTTCAAATAGATATATCTTAACTTTTTATTATCCTTGTAAAATTGACTTTCAAAAAGTCTTTAAAATAAAATTGTAGAATTGCAGATGAAATGCAAGAGTTTAATGGATGCATCGGCCCAAATGTGTTACTAAAAGTCAAAATTAGAAAATTCATGTATTTTTCTTATGTGGTATTAGTACTTTGAAAATTTCTTAGATAACTGTGCAGATGTGCAAGCAAAGAATAAGAGCTTACAAATATTGATGGTAGAAGAGAGACATAAATTAAATTATAGTCCGTAATGTGCATAATAAATCATCGAGGGAATGGATTTAAGCCCATAAGGGAGTTGTGTCCAAGAGTAACCAAACTTTTGTAATTGGAGATACTATGAAAAATGTTCAATGTGGTAGAAACAACTTATACTGCGTGACTTGTAATAGGATTATATTATCTGTGTTTATCCCTATGGTTATAGTGTTAACAATAAAATGTGTTGTTAGGAAGGATTTAACCCTGAATGAGTACCGATGCGAGAATTCTCGTGAGGCGTGGATCACAAGGCACCCTTAGAGGATTCATATATGTAAGAGTTGTCATGACGCTGTGATTATAGAATTGGGTTATTTTCTAGAGGCTCTTACTAAAATCAAGATTAGAGCGCATAACTATTTAGATCGCTACTCGCTATGAATTAGAGCCTAAATCAATACTTTGTATGGGACAATTGAAGTTTGGTTAAAGGAATCTAATTCAAGGTTTAGTCCATTATGATTCTCTCAAATGAAAATTGTTATCACTAAGTGAGGTTCAAGTCCAAAAGACACCTACACCTATTACATAGTACAACGTTGATGCTATATATTATACACATATTTATATATTTTGAAAGTTTAAAATTTGTAGGGGATTGTTGTAACTTAAATTTTAAATTTTCAAAAAATTAAATTGATTTTAATTTTCAGTTTTCTTTTATTTTAATAGTCAGATTTTAATAGAAAACTAAAAGTCATAATTATATATTTTAACTTACACTTTAATTGAATTTATTCACATTTATGTGGGGGTTTAAGATGTACACTATGAAAAGGGAGGATATTTTATAATTTAGACACAACTTGAAATATTTGAATACAAAAATATTCTATCTATATTTTATATTATATTTCTATAGTTTTGATAATTCGATGATAGGCTCATTCTTTATCTCCTTATGGTCGTGTCCATAAAAGGAGAATCGGCTGTGACCCACATGCGTTTTATTTTGGAGCCGTATAGTGCCGAAAGTATCCGCACAAAAGAAAGACAACATGACTTTAGAACAACGTCCTTGACGTGACTCCATAATACCTTTCAATTCTAACTCTCTTATTGTTGAATTACAATGTTATCATATTATTATGTTTATGAAATTATTGAATTATGTTATTAATATTTATTAGTTGATATGTTTATCTATACACAAATCTCCCATTTTTTCCAACAAGGCCTATATTCACTTTGTAGCCGATTGATTCATCATAATGAACTAGAATTCTTTCTATCATATAACTGATAGGTTGATTCATAGTCCAGAAGTTAAGTATACTATATGATTATGGCTTGTTCGGTAGTGATTTTGAGAATTAATTTTTTGACTATTGGAGGGAAAGTGGATCATAAATGTGAGAGAAAAGTAAAAAATGACGGCTTGAATAATAAAATAACGGTCAAAAAATTGCTACCAAACATACACTAGGTTCTAAACAAACTAACACGTAGGTCTATCTTTAACCAGTGACGAACGCTAAAAAGTATCGATGTACAATATATGTTGCGATCAAATATGGGTAAACAATTCTTTCGTCGATATTAACCGTTCAACGTAAAAGTAATTACCTCTTGAGGTGATAATTGGTAAATGATTTTTCGTTGTAATTCTTCCTTAATAAGCATACTGGTTGGAGGATGATCAAGTCCCATTCCAAAGCCAATATCATATACATCTCCAATTTCTCCGAAGTTAGATAGATCCGGCACTCCCTAGTAATTAAATTGGGACAAGGGGTTAAAAAACATTAAATCATTGTACACCATTTTTTTGGATACAATTTTTTTCACTTTACACCTCTAATAAATCAGACAAAATCCCTTTTGACAAAAATTCAAAAAGAACATGTTACTCGTGGAGAGATGCAAAAGGATCTTCATTACTTGCAGAAATGTTGGAAGATAATAGAGGGAATGGATTTGGATTTGGATACGGTCAGACATGAAAGAATGAATTGAAGACAGTTGGCATGGCAACAATTATTTAGGACAGTCCAATGTTATTGACGTCGAATGATTCCCCTTAACCCGCTTTGACTGAAAAGCCATGCCCAGCACTCCACTTTCTTGTATTTTTTTCTCAGAGAAAAGCTCTTCAATAGAAATGCATGTCTTTTAGCTCACCAAATTCAGAAACAAACTGCTCATGTCCCACCTTTTAGACCATGTACGGAGCTCGACTCAACATAACTTACATAATTATAGAAAAAAGTACGTAATGATATTCATCAAGATTTTAAAATTTAAGTCAAAATAAATAATTAATTTTGACCACACGTTTTATCACCTTTTATCAAAATCTACCAAAAACTTATTTTTATCTAACAGGGCCTTAATTCTATTCAACTCATTATTACATGTGCAAAATTGTTCTATTGCCCACAACTGATGTCCAAGATAAGCCGTCCTCGTTGATAATTCAACACAATAAGATCCTGCCCACCATGGACAGGAGATCATCCCTTAATGACATATGATGTTATGGGGTTTTATCTCAAAAACGTTAAGTAATGAATTGTAAACAAGTTCATATCGGACATGTTCAAACGATAAGCCCTTGCCTACCATGGATGGGAGATCATCCCTTATAACATATGATGTTATGGGGTTTTATCCCTAAAACCTTAAGCAATGAATTGTAAAAATGTTCATATCTATACAATGAATTGTAAACAAGTTCATAACAGACATTTTCATATACTAAAACATGTTCATATCCCTTATAACATATGATGTTATGGCTTATCTCAAAAACGTTAAGCAAAGTCGAATTTCCTTATATTAATTAGTGTACTTTTGCTTAATAAATGGCAAAGGTGCAAAAGTTGTACGAGTATTCGAAGAACTTACATCTTTGATATCTTCCTTCGTCACATATCCCGTTTTCAACATGGTGGCCGCAACATACACTGCGAGACTGATTTTCTTTGCAAATTTGTGAATTGCATCTGTCAAACTAAGCCCCCCAGCACTATGTCCTACCAAAATCACCTGCATCAACACTTACAAAGTTTCTTATGATGGAAAAGTGAATTCAAACTGCATGTGAAGTGTATGTTAAAAGGAGTTTAAACTTTTAGACGATATTGAGAGAGAATGGACCTTTTCGTTGTCGTTTAAGGATGACAAGAATTGTAAGAGTGGATTGTTGTATTCTTTGAAGGAAAGAACTGTATTGGGGTCAATTTGATCGATGCCAGAACCTTTGAGATCAATACATGAAACTTTGTAGCCGGAATTCTCCATTAGGCATCTGATTTTGTACCAGCACCACCCTCCCCCACTAATACCATGTATCATAACAAAGTGTGGCTTCTTTAGGGTAGTCTTCACTTTCATTTCCATTTCCTCTGCAAACTCTTCCCCCATGCTCTCTCTCTCTCTCTCTATATATATATAGACACACACACATCATTTCCATGGTGGTATGAATTATCTTGTCCACTACTGACGTCTCAATGTCACATCCTACAATGGTTAATTAGCTTGCAAAGAGAAGTTATTTTGACGCATTGTCAAGCAAGAATGTTTATTCATATTAGTAATTCATTGTTGACGTGATCTTCTTTTTACTTTAAAGAAAAAAGGAAAAAACATAGTCCGAAAGTAAAAAAATTAAGTTGCTAGGCTCTGAGAAACTTGCATTATTTTTATTTTTACATGATTAGATATATGATTTTTACACCAAACTTAGCTTTTTACACGATTACGTATATGATATGAGTTTTCACGAATAACTTAAGAACTTGATGGCAATTAAGGGGAAAGGTTTGAAAACAAATATTCATAAACAGAGCTGTGGAGAATGAATTATGAAGTGTCCATGAACAGAAACCAAAAAATGCAATTGAAAGAAAACTGACAAGGTTAATGAACTCTGAACTGTCGTTTTGCATGAGTTTTCAAGGGAGTACGGATTGAATAAAGGGTGAATGATGAGAATGGGTGCAATTACTTGGAAAGTGAGTTCAATCATTTAGTCCATTCCCAAGTTTGTTTTCTAACACAAGATCTAACTACTCGAATTCGAAGTGATGTCACCTCTACAATTTATCCCCTGTTTAGTTCTGTTAAAAGAAAAAAAAAAAATCTATTTTTTTTATTAAATTTAAAGATGATGAAATGTATGATTTAACAGTTGATAAAAATTGTGAATTCTATAAAAATATGAATAAAATTAACTGTTGATTTTGACTTAAATTTTTATCAATCGATAAATCAAACGGGGCTTAATATATGTTTTTGCTATATTTTATGAATTTAAAATGATTTTCAAATTTTAAGACCTCAAATTTCATTTTTATGCAAATAATAGTGTAGAAAATGGGGGTGGGGGGTGGGGGGGGAATTAACTAAAAGGAACATTTGAACGTGCGCGCCCACACACCCACATACATACATACATACATGTGTGTGTGTGTGTGTGTGTGTGTGTGTGGAATGAGAAAACCCAGCGCTGTTGACGTTCAAAAATCTATTAGATCGAACGGTTTGGTTATGAAAGTTAGGGGGTGAGATGTAACAATCACAATATGTTACTTGGAGTATGATGGGTGCTAAATAACATCAACTCGTAGAAGAAAGTGACATTGAACTTCTTTAATGGTTCTATTGTGGAAGAATGTCATAGTCAAGAAATTATTCCAGTATTTGATTATTACTATGGCTGGTCCGTGACGCCCTCAGGATTATTTCGTAATTCTTAAATAGTGGAGATGAGTTGTATATAGGTTAGTTTTCCTTCATTTTCTTTTGCCATTCACATGTTTAGCAGACTCAATCAAGATAAATTGAAATTCCCCTTTTTCATCAAATTCTTACAACAATAAATGGTGATTAAACATATTTTTGTTTCGAAAAGCTAAAAGATTGTATCAATATTTCATACCACATTCTACCCATAAAATTTATCGTGGCATATTGATTGCGATTGATTCCATCGTTTTTTATTTTTTCGTTATCCATCTTCTTCTAAAGTATTTCTTGGTGGACTACATAGAAGATAAAAATGGACCCACCCCAAATTTGATTTATTGGTCAATTTGAAATGAATGTAATCTGATAACCTGTCAAGCATTATAGATTTGTTTCTGCACACTACAATAACTGAGATCGTAAATTATTATTTTTTTGTCTAATTATTTACATTTATAATTGTCTAATGCAACACAACATTTATGACAAAAGATGGTGTGACCGAGTTTGTCAAATGTATAGTTTTTGTAGGATATTAAATTATCAGAATAATTCAAATGGCAACCGTCCTTCCTCAATGGTTGTATTTACAGCTTAAGTAGGATATTAAGTTAATGTTTGGTCCCCATTAAATTCAAAACTTTTCATTCTTTTTTAACTACAAATTCTCCAAAAATTACTATTTCAAAATCGAATTCTCATTATAATGTAGGAATAATGAGAATCAAATATAGGCTAATTTATATATTGAACATGGAATAATTAAATTGAAGTACACTACGGTGCTTTGATAGAATCATACCGAAAAAATTCGACAAAATGACCCCATTACATTGAAAGGAGTGTTCTCCTATCTTTTGATTAGGAAAGCGATCAGAAGATAGCAACTGTTGATTAAAAACACATGACTTTGAAAAGAAGTAAAACGATATATTGAGTCTAACACCTGTTTAACCTTAGAAGGTTGGTAGGAGAAGTGTTCGTTATTATGAAGATAAAAATGACAAAATCAAAATGATATTTGACGGTAATATTTGTAATTTATGATATGCTAGATACACTTGATCAATTAAATATAATTAAGGAAAAAAAGGGTGAGATGTGTATGTGATTTTTTTTTTTGGGTCAAAAATCACACATTTTATCAATTTTTATCAAAATCTATTAATTTAATTTTAATTTTAATTCCTGCCCAATTGAGCTAAATATGAAAAAAAAAAAAAAAAAAGCCCACCAAAAACTACTCCAAATTGGGGGCACAATGTAAAAAATGTAGCCAACTCATGATCTAATAATTAGCCATTGATAAAAGGCAACATGTCAATTTTTTGGGCCACTAAAGGTATGTATGTTTCGCTTTGTGCAAGCAAATCTATTTGGTGCAAAAGTTTATGAAATAATTAGGACAAAAGTATGTACTGTGTTTGTCTCCTACCCTGTCATATCCTATGAGTGCGTGACAGTGGAGAGTGCAGTGTTCATCACTTATTAATTTCATTCACTATTTCAGAATCCCACGTGCAAGATATGTATTGATGCAAACCCCGTAGCAATGGAAACTACGAAACCCACAATTAGATTGATGCGGAACCCAAGAACGTCAATACTAATCCGATTTTGGATTTTGAACCCCAATAATCGAACCACGAAATCTCAGATTAGCGAAGAATCTGAAACCCCTTGATTACAATCAATGAAACCCACAATCCGACGTCAAGAACGCCACAAGAAATCGATTCTTGATAAGTTCTAAATTTGTCCAATGAAGAACAATCGATTGAAAGAAAATTTCTCTCTCTGTATTAATTTCAGCAAAAGTTTCTTTTTTACATAATGAAAAGAGTTTCCTATTTATACTATGGCATAAAAAACGTCCAAATTAATCAAAATATGGTAATATTTTGATTTCACAAGAGTTCTACCAACATTAGAAGATTCGGCAAAAATTAAAAAAAAAAACGAATTTTTTTCCACTTTTTGATCTATGCGGCCGCATAGATCATTTCTATGCGGTCGCATAGATCATTCCAGCCAGCCACATGTAGTTTCGGTGGCCTTCTATACGGTCGCATAGGCCGTTGAGCTTGCGGTTGCATAGACCAACTCCGTGTCGCCTTTGTCCGCTTTTATCTCGTTGATCCAAGTTCCTTCGGCCTTCGACCCCAACATGAAACTTGTTCCATTTGACCTCCCGAACATTGTTTCATCGATCGTTTGCATGACAAGCAATCCCATCGCTTCTTTCACTCGCTTCGTCCTCGATCGCGTCATCGGTCCGCCTTCGACTATCAATGGATCCTTTCCGTAACTCGTCGCTTGACTCGCTTCGGTTGTGGACGTGCCTTGATTCATATCATCCCCTTCCCCTTCGAAAGGATTCGTCCTCGAATCTGAACCTGCATCGAAAAGAGATAGATCAGCAACATTAAAAGTAGCTGAAACATTATACTCACCTGATAAGTCCACTTTGTAGGCATTGTCGTTGATCCGCTCGATGACTTGAAACGGTCCATCGCCTCTTGGTTGCAACTTCGACTTCCTCTGTTCTGGAAAACGCTCCTTTCTGAAATGCACCCAGACCCAATCTCCAGGTTCAAATGTAACGCGTCTCTTTCCTTTATTTGCTTTTGATGCAACCAGCTTTCCTTTCTCTTCGATCTGCATCCTGACCCTTTCATGTAGTGCTTTCACCATCTCTGCCATGCGTTTCCCATCCAAGCTACCTCGTTCATGCACAGGTAAAGGTATTAAATCCATAGGTGTTAGTGGATTAAAACCATAAACA